ATATATATATATATATATATATACATATATAGGCCTAATCACCTCAATTGCTTAAACTTGTTCCTCGCTGCCGCTGGTTTTCCTACCATATTACCTGCTCGTTTATAGATTATTCTCACAACAATGCACATTATTCCAGTGTTACCCTTGAGAAAAATCAATACAAAATGTGTACAATATTAACATAAAGGCAATTATTATTCGTCATTAAGGAGAGAAGGTGGAGTATACACATTGTTACATAAAAATTGCATTTATAAGAATAAATATATTAATAAAAGTATTGGTTAAAAATTACAAGAAATACAATTTTTAGAAGTATCTAACAATATTTATGCTTCATTTCATTTCGTCACTTGTTATAAAATAAAATATTCAAAAAGCAATACACAAAGCAAGACAATTAAACATGTTTTGAGGCGGTGGACCGGATTGCCAATAGCAACATTGATCACATTCTATGTCGCAGCAACATTGATCACATTCTATGTTGCTCTCCAACACGAAATTGCACACATAAAATATTCTTTACCGTAGCAATGCATAATGCTGGTGCTACAAATGCCCATATCATTCCTCTTTCTTGACCAAGCCAACAACTGGAAAAGGTAAGAAAATGTTAGAATAGATCGTTGTTGTTACTTTTTAGAAATAATTAAGATAAAGAAGATATCCCAATATTCCCATCTATAGAAATGTCATCTTTGCCATCCTTTGAAATTACAAAATCCGTTTGCTATTTCGCGTGGGAAGCCTTTTGAGCTCTCCGACGCACCAATGCATACATTTTAACAATACAACATCGCCATGGATGGTGCCAGGAGTTACCAGACGGACTGTCCAATGTCACCGGTGTTGGGGAGTGCGGGGTTGTTCAACGACAGTGAAGTAGATTTCAGGGGCGAAACCCCGAAAACTATGACAGTTTAGGTTTTCCAATCCTTATTTAATCGTAGAGTCCACTAACATGTAAAAAATACATATAATTTTTTCTATATAGCAATTTGTTTTTCCCTCCCAAACGAAGGGGTTGGGTGCAGCTCTCCCCGACGGAGCCTGCTCCCCGCTGGCACCACCCCTGGGTTTCCGGCATTAGAAATTAATCAGTAACCTACCTGTCACCATCATTGTATTCGGATGTGAATCCAGCCGAAGAAATGACAACGATGATAAGGGGAATACCATAGCATACTGTCATGTAATTTCGAAGTCGGTTGTGTTGCCTGGGGGCTGATGTGGAAACTTTGAAAAGCAAGTATACCGCCTCACCAAACATCCAGGTGAATGTATTCAGCGCAGTGAAGTGAAGAAGAACGCTAACGACTGCACATATGATCTGAAAGGTAAATGACTATTTAAACGATTCGATGGATAATGTAGAATGTATGTATGTTAGATACACGTACATGTAATCGGATAATTTAATGATCTTACGGCACTTGTCTTCTAGGTGGATGGTGTGGGCGGGTGGATGGATGGAAAAACGGACACACGAACAGCAATCGAAAAAAGAATCGAAGGAACGAACAAAGGAACATTATAATAACGTACATAGACCAAATATTGCCAATAGCGATATATAAGTATTAAAAACTTTTATAATAATGTAATAGTTACGGAAGCACCTAAGTGCCATTCGACTTGACGACTTGTCAAGATAATTTATGTTGTCATGTCGACATAATATACATATCATGTCGACATGGCGAGATAGATTATCTTGACAAGTCGACATAGTAAAAATTGTATGTTGTCATGGCGAGATAGATTATCTTGACAAGTCGACATAATACATATTGTAAGTTGTCATGGCGAGATAGATTATCTTGACAAGTCGACATAATATAAGTTGTATGTTGTCATGGCGAGATAGGTTATCTTGACAAGTCGACATAATAAAAATTGTATGTTGTTATGGCGAGATAGATTATCTTGACAAGTCGACATAGTAAAAATTGTATGTTGTCATGGCGAAATAGATTATCTTGACAAGTCGACATAGTAAAAATTGTATGTTGTCATGGCGAGATAGATTATCTTGACAAGTCTACATAGCAAAAATTGTATGTTGTCATGGCGAGATAGATTATCTTGACAAGTAGACATAATAAAAGTTGTATGTTGTCACGGCGAGATAGATTATCTTGACAAGTCAATATAATGCAAATTGTATCTTGTCATGGCGAGATAGATTATCTTGACAAGTCGACATAATAAAAGTTGTATGTTGTCATGGCGAGATAGATTATCTTAACAAGTCGACATAATACAAATTGTATGTTGTCATGGTGAGATAGATTTTAACCTATCTCGCCATGACAACATAACATTTTTACTATGTCGACTTGTCAAGATAATCTATCTCGCCATGACAACATACAACTTTTATTATGTCGACTTGTCAAGATAATTTATCTCGCCATGACAACATACAATTTTTATTATGTCGACTTGTCAAGATAACATATCTCGCCATGACAACATACAATTTTTATTATGTCGACTTGCCAAGAAAATCTTTTTCGCCATGACAACATACAACTTTTATTATGTCGAATTGTCAAGATAATCTATCTCGCCATGACAACATACAATTTTTATTATGTCGACTTGTCAAGATAACCTATCTCACCATGACAACATAACATTTTTATTATGTCGACTTGCCAAGAAAATCAATCTCGCCATGACAACATACAACTTTTATTATGTCGACTTGTCAAGATAACCATTCTTGCCATGACAACATACAATTTTTACTATGTCAACTTGTCAAGATAATCTATCTCGCCATGACAACATACAACTTATATTATGTCGACTTGTCAAGATAATCTATCTCGCCATGACAACATACAACTTATATTATGTCGACTTGTCAAGATAATCTATCTCGCCATGACAACATACAACTTATATTATGTCGACTTGTCAAGATAATCTATCTCGCCATGACAACATACAACTTATATTATGTCGACTTGTCAAGATAATCTATCTCGCCATGACAACATACAACTTATATTATGTCGACTTGTCAAGATAATCTATCTCGCCATGATGTCAAGATAACCTATCTCGCCATGACAACATACAATTTTTATTATGTCGACTTGTCAAGACAACCTATCTTGCCATGACAACATAAAAATATGTTTCATATTCGTATATATCCTAGTTTTATTATTGTGAAGTTTTGCTGAAGGATTAATTCAAACTATTATAAATAAAGAACAGTTTGAATCTGATAATAAATTCTGATATAATCTTTGCATTTCAGTAATAGGCCTACTTACCTTGTTGCCTGTCTTGTCGATCCCAAAAAGAAAGAGTGATTGCATCGAAATCATGTTAACAACCAAGTTTTTGTGGATTGAAACGCGGAGTGATTTCCATAGTTCCCTATTTAAAGGTAAACAAGTAAATATGCATATGTATATTTTGCTACAAATATTTATACCTCAACGTTGTACCATTTATTTTTCCAAGCTACGACAATGTACAAGCCAGTTCTCACTTAAACATGACCCCAGTATGTGTGCGCTTCAAGCCGGCTTTATGAGAGAAGATGTCTGCGTGTACATGCACGCGTATGTCTCTGTGGTCTAATGTAAGACACTCGCGCCATTGCAGCGAGAGGCTTCAGACTCAAATCCTGCCAGAGACACTTTGCTTTTAACCAATACTTGTTTGACAAATAAATGTATATGCTGTTTACTACAATGTGGTGTTTAGCTGTCTTAGTAGGTATACCCTCAATGTGTTAAACTATGAGATCAACACTTAAAATTACTAAAAAAAGGAATTTAAATAACTTACGGAAATAAGCAGTAAACGAAGAGAGAAACAACCAAAGCGATGAGTGACAGAGAGACGCACACTTTCGACATCAGACTCAAAGTTTTGTTGTCCTGTATCTGTAATTGAAACCAATACTAGGATTTAGAGCTACAGCCAAAAAGTCTTTTGCTACAGTGTGTTCTCTTTCAACGTGTTTCGTTTAAAAGCAGATGTCTAATATATTATTAGCATAACATTTTTTTTTTGTTCGGCAAAAGTATTTTGTTTTTGTTTGGTTAAGGTTGAAGCCGATCGCCTAAGAACTCGAAAAGTAGGGTAGAAATAAAATCGATAGGAATCGATAGACCAATTAGGAAATGTACAGTCTCGAAATCGGTTTTGCGAAGCAAAATACAGTAGTATCATTTTGAGTAAGCATATTTAGAAGTAGACTAAGCGAAAATTACGTCTTTAAAAGAAGAGCAAACCCTGTAGAAGACACTATTTTATGCCTTTATCTGGGTAATTGTAATTTTAAACATGAAGTTTGAAATGTAATGTTTTTCCACACAGTTTCAAAGGTATCTAAAACTTAAGTTGACACAATATAAATATATAGAGCTAACGTGATTACGTGATTGATGAATATTTTTTAACCACTCTTGGTTTTTTAAAACTTGCAACGATTACTTTCAAGTACCACTGTAAATTATCATTATCAATTAAAAATAAAAATAAGAACGATAACAATTTGAAAAGGGAAAAAAAAAACAGTTCTTGAAAGCGTAGGGTTCTATTGATTATAGAAAATGGAAAGAAAATTGGGTGCAGTTTTTTCCATCTATATGCTTGATCTATCCTTATTATCAAACATGATATTTAGAAATAATATAGTGGAATTATCAAAAATACAATAAATAAAGTGGGGGCAACAAAAAAGATTTTGTAGACAAAAAAAAAAAAAAGATACAGTAGACAACAGATATAAAAAAAAGTGTTCACTGATGAGTTCCAGGAACAAGCATTAAATAACCTGAAATAGGAGCAGTCGTTCGGACCATTTATAGGCATGATTTATCCATATTTTCAAACATGATATTAAGAAACAATGTATTGGAACATTTTATAAATAAAAAATAAATGAAAAGGAAAAATGAAAAAGAAAAAAAATAGATTTTAAAGTATAGAGTCTATTTATATAGACAATGGAAAGAAAAAAAATCAATATACACTGCTGGGTTACAAGAACAAGCAGTTAATCAGCAAAGGAATATTAAAAAATAATTAAAACTAAAAAGGAAATAAAATAAGATGTTTTTTTTCTCTTTTCTCTCTCTGTTCTTCTCTCGTCATGTAGCTACAAAATCTCCCGATGAAATGGTCAGATGTTCCAAGTAAAAGAATGTAAGTATAAAGATCTATTAGGCCCTATATCAATTGAGGGACATTTGATATAGGAGCAATATTCTGTGGCTAATGAAGAAAAAAGGGGAATAAGAGGAAAGAATATGAGAGGGAAAGGAGGAGAGGAAAAATATACTGTACATTATTAAGTTTCAGGAACAAGTAGTTGTTTTCCCTCTCTTTTTCCTTTTCCTCGCCCTTGTGTTACAAAATCTCCCGTAGGACTTGTCTGATGTTCCAAATGGAATTAGTTTAAGTAGTACAAAGTATGATATGCAATGGGGAACAATTTACAATAAAACAAAAATGTGGTAACTTTCTGTGACAAAAAAAAAATATAGGAAAAGGAAATAATATAGGAAGAAAATGAGGGATAGAGAAAAAGGAAAAGGATACTGCTGTACACTACTGAGGTTCAGGGACAAGAGTTCAGTGACCTGCAATGACAGTTGTTCATTATTACAAATAGTAGTGGATTAGTTTCAGTTGTTTTTTCTCCTTTTTCTAACCTTTGAGTTACAGTTTTTCTTGTAAGACTTGCTTGATGTTAAAGTTAATAAAATTGATTGGAGTTGTAAAGAGTTCTATTATATATAT